TAATAAAATCTTTAAGGTAGTAGGAAAAGTGTGCTTTGTTTACTTCATTTATTTATGTGTTTATGATGCATAAGAAATTGCTTGATGGTAGGAAAAGTGATAGCAATAACCATTGTATAATGGCTTTATTTTCAAGTGAAAAGTGTTGTCGCCTTAAGCAGCTGCTTAGAGTACGTAGAATCCACAAACTTGCACCTAGTAGCCTTATGCAAATATTTGTTCAGTTGAAACAAACAGCTGAAGGAAAAAAGAATTTGATGAAGGAAATTTAAATAAAGTAGTAAATGCTAATCCTGAACTTTAGCTGTAGCTATTTATGTAAAGAGCAGGGGACTAGCCATTATAAATTGTATTGATGATGTATTTGAAAATAATATGTACCTTTGAAAGATGGCCAATGATGAAGAAAAAATTTTCAGATATAGTTACTGTAATAAATGCATTAAATATTGGTTAAATTTATCATTACTTAGCCAGATATTGTAAATCTAGTTACTATCTTTTATGACAATAATGAGATCAAAGGAAAAGTATTGTTTCTGTTGTTTTTATTTGGAGTAGCGTGTATATTATTACACTTAAGTATAGAGTTCAGTAGAAAGGAAAAGATAGAAGATGCAAAAGAGGTAGTTTATGAAGGTTTGTAACAGATTCCAGGATATACAAGAAGGAATTAACCCTGTAAATAGTGACTACTTAAGATCTAAGAGAAGGGGAAACTATGAGTAATGACAGAAATATAGAGGAAAAGGAAGTTAGGGCAGCTCTAATAGAATAAACTTAAATTCTTTCAGGAATAAGCCTTTTTTTTTTTTTTTTAAAAAAATTAACCAAAATGGCAATATCCTTAAATTTACAGACTCAAACTATATAGGGGAAGACAAACTCTGAAACAACCAGATTGAAATTTAGTGTTTAACAAAAGGTGAAAAAGTTGGGAGCAGTTTTGTAGGGAATGTTTTCAGGAGCAGAAATTAATAGAATAAGTTGTAATGATGAGAATCACTTGATAATTGGGAGCATTAACTTGCAGGTGGACTAAACTTTATTTAGCAAGGGTTGGCAACTTTGGAATAGTTATTGGAAGTCTCAGGGTAGAGATTAGTAGGATAGACAAGGTGAAAAGACGATAAATTACTAGTGGGACCACTACTGCTGTTACTACTACTAATGATCATGATAATTGCTCTCATTTATCGTTGGCCTGATATTTGCTAAATGGCTTTACACGTATCAAATTTAAGCCTCACGACCACCCTGAAAGATAGATTACCAGTAAGTGAGTTTCAGAAATGTTATTTGTCCAGTGCTTCTACCTGTGGTTGTGCTTCCACACCCCTGGAGGGGAGGGATGTGCTATTCATGTTAGAGATGTCAGAGAATGTATTTTTATTACAGTGTTTTTTTAGCAGGTAAAAGTATCTTCGTGAAGGCATGCTTTTAATTGTACGTATAGCCATACTGTGACAGCAGTTTATCAAATTCTGTGAGTAACAGTCCCCGTTTTGTGTAAACACACACACACACGGCAGGGGATACAGCTTAAAGGAAGTATACAAATATGTTAACAGTCTGGGCAATTAAATCACAAGGAATTTTTATTTTCATTTAGATACACTTGAATTTTCCTGGTTTCTTTAAGTGAACATGTTGTTTATTTTGGGTGGCAGGGGTAGGTTACTGATGGAAAGGTAGTAGTAAGGAAAATTGTTCTAGACACACTAGTATACAGTAGTGGCATCCCAGTTATCTCTTCCCCTATCCCTTTCCCAAAAAATCAGTAATATTCTACAAACTCATTATCTGTTTTGCACCGGAATTGCATTTAAGCTTTAAAAATCCAGATTTTCCATTTAATGTATTTGGAAGCTGTAACTCGTTTCTACCCTTATATGATCATTGTACCCAGCTCCATTCTTAGTTATACTAGTAATTGTACCTTCACCAGCCAATGAATGGTTTGTATGACTTGAGTAGTTAGATAAATAGTAAACAGACTTAGGATAGAGGGGAAAGGTAGTAGGTAAGAGGGAAATAATAGACTCCGAAGTGATGAACACTTGAAAATCCCTGTGATCTTAAAACCGTACATATATACAGCTTCATAAGTTTAGTAATTTGATTTAAAGAAGCACTAATTTTATCTTTTTTTATCACTAGTAAATTCATCAATTTTGTGTGTTATAAATAAATTTGATTCATTTAATGTACTGTGAAATATTTTAGAATCAGGTATCATTTTGACCAGTACTAGTAGTAGTACATTTGGGTTTTGGTGTGTGTACAAATAGCTTTACCTTTTAATTAATAATTTATAGTATTTAGGTAAGATACTAAAAGCAAAATAAGAAGTGCCTCCTTGTGACAATTATTAGAGCTCCAGCCATATTTATTTCATATTAATGAAAAGAACTGTTTGTACTGAAAATTAAGAGATTCCAAAACTAAAAATATAATTTTAATTACACAGTAAGCTCTTTTTTTTTTTACATCCCCATGACTTACTTTATAACTAAAAGTTTGTATCTTTTCCCTTTACCCCTTTGTCCACTCGCCATCTCCCACCTGATAACCACCAGTCTCTTTATGAGCTTGTTTTTTGTTTTTTTTTTTAGATTCTACATATAAGTGAGATTATATGGTATTTGTCTTTCTCTGACTTATTTCACTTGGCATAATACCCTCTACGTCCATCCATGATGTTGCAAATGGCAAGATTTTATTATTTTTTATAGCTGAGTAATCCATTATATATATGTATACCACAACTTTTTTATCCATTCATCTATCAGTGGACACTGAGGTTGCTTCCATGTCTTAGCTTTTGTAAATAATGCCGCAGTTAATATAGGGATGTATATATCTTTTATAATTAGTGTTTTCATTTTCTTCAGATAAATACCCAGAAGTAGACTCATTGGATCATACGATAGTTCTAGTTTTAATTTCTTGAGGAACCTCCATACTCTTCTCCACAGTGGCTGTACCAGTTTGCATTCCAAACAACAGTGCACAAATGTTCCCTTTTCTCTGCATCTTCACCAACACTGGTCACTTTCTTTTCTTTTCTTTCTTTTTTTTTTTTTTCCCAATACTAGCCATTCTGACAGATGTGAGATGATATCTTATTGTTTGGATTTCCATTCCCCTGATGATGAGTGGCATTGAGCATCTTTTCATGTATCTGTTGGCTATCTGTATGTCTTTTTTGGAAAAAATATCTATTCAGATTCTCTGCTATTTTTTAATTGAGTTGCTTATTTTTTGCTATTGAGTTATATGAGTTTTTTATGTATTTTGGATATTAATCCCATATTAGATACATGATTTTTAAATACTTTCCCCCATTCAGTAGGTTGCCTTTTCCTTTTGTTGATGGTTTCCTTTGTTGTGCAGAAGCTTTTAGTTTGATATAGTCCCACTTGTTTATTTTTGCTTTTGTTGCCTTTACCTTCAAATCAAATCCAAAAAAAATCATCGCCAAGACTAATAGCAAAGAGCTTACCACCTGTGTTTTCTCTTGAGAGTTTTATAGTTTCAGGTCATACACTCAAGTCTTTTATCCATTTTGAGTTAATTTTTGGGTATGGTATAAGATAGTTGTTCAGTTCATTCTTTTGCATGTGTCCGTTGAGTTTTCCCAAAACCATTTATTGAAGAGACTTCCTTTCCCCTTTCCCCAACATATATTTCTGGCTCCTCTGTTACAAATTAATCAATCATGTATGTGTGGATTTATTTCTGGGCTCTGTACTGTTCCACTGATCTGTGTGTCTCTTTATGCCAATACCATACAGTTTTAATTACTATGGCTTTGTAATATAACTTGAAATCAGGCAGCATGATGCTTCCAGGTTTATTGTTCTTAAGATTCTTTGGCTATTCTGAATCTTTTGCGTTTCCATATAAACTTTAAGATTGTTCTTTTTCTGCCAAAAATGCCATTCGAATTTGGATAGGGATTGTATTGAATCTGTAGATTGCTTTGGGTAGTTTGGTCATTTTAACGTTATTAATTTTTCCAAGCCATGACAGCTTCACAATAAACTTTTGGTATGTATTTGTATAAGAATATATTTGAATGGTATAATGATTCTTGACATTGTCTTTTATAATTCAATATTCAATTACTCTTGATTAAAATTTATTTTAAAATTTCTATCATATATACTGCACACCAAGAACTGGTTTAAATACAGACATACTTTTATGATATCCATAAAAAAAAATCAAGTCCTAAAAGAGCTCTGCCGTAAACTTTAAAGATACTGATTATGCAAATATTTGAGTTGCTGTTTAGTAATTGAAGCCTTTTACTGTCTGGATTCCAGTATTCTCTTTCATTGCCATATATTCTAGTTAATAAGGGAAAATAGTATCTGACTTTCTTTAGGTTGTATCCTTGCCACGTACCTGCTGAGACATTTGTACATTGTTAAGCCCCCAGGTATGAGTAGGGTATGATGTTAGAGAAATGAGGGCTGTGGATTCTTAAACATGGACAAACAAAATGTGAATTCAGCTAAAATGCCAGACTTACCAGAATTTATAGCATTTAGAGTGTTGGATCTAATATTCTAGAGTTTTATATGTAACATGAGGTCTAGTAAATGCTTAAGCAGCTTCTAAAAGTATAAGAGAATATGGTATTTGCTTGTAAAATAGTTTTCTCTTGTGTTTTAAAATGACACATGATTTACTTTCAAGAGATTCTTAGCTCACTTTCATTGAAGGTAGGGAATTGAGAATGAAACATAATAGACTTAAATTACCAAAAGTCTTCAGTATAGTTGAATAATTTGATTCTGAAATATAAAGAGAAGTTTTCAAAATAATTTCAAAATATTCCTTGAAATGAAATGAATGTGAGCTTTGCCTACACTATTATGCCTAGTATTTCTGTATATTGATCTGGGGCTTTTGTATTAGGAGAGCAAGTTTTCTGATTTAAATAATATATGCAAATGCCAGAAAATTTCTACTACTTTTGTTCTTTTTAGGTGGTTTCAGACACCCTCACAGGTTTTCTACCATGCAGCAACTGAACATGGAGGCAAAGATGTATATCCAGGGCAATGTCTTTGGGAAGGTTGTGAACCTTTTCAGCGACAGAGGTTTTCTTTTATTACCCACTTACAGGTACACTTTCTTCATACTATTTGATCAGTAACTCACCTGGTTGCATTAAAGATCTTGATGCATATTCTTTTACTTCCTCTTTCTCAAAAAGGATAAGCACTGTTCAAAAGATGCCCTGCTTGCAGGATTAAAACAAGATGAACCAGGACAAGTGGGAAGTCAAAAATCTTCTACCAAGTAAGAACCATGAGTTTACTTCCCATTGCACATACAAAAAGAAAAGTCAAGAAACTAGGCAAAACATAGTACCAGTGAAAGACAACTTAGCATATTGGGTGACCAGAGACCTAGGTTCTAGTTGAGCTCTACTGTTAACCAGCCATGAGACCCTATTCCAACTGCCTAAATTCTCTGAGCACTTTTCATTCTGGCTAGAACACATAGTCTGTTAGGACTTTGTAGCTATATTTTGATTCTAATCTGTGTATAAGTCATTAGAAGTGATGACAGATGATATTTCAGAAATGCTTTGTAAAGTGGAAATGTATATATGGTTCTTTGTCCTTTGAGAGAGTAATTGAATATGTATTTGATAATGGCGAAGAGATTTCTTCCTACAAGCAGTCCTCTGAGGACAGGCCAGGGTTTCGTGTGAGGATTGTATACATATCACATTTACTATATGGTTGTTCATTTACCTGGTATTTCATGAGCCCCATACTTATAAGGCATGTAGTTCAAGTTCTATCTGGGTGTAAATTCCTATAAAAGCTTTATTGGATTTACCCAGTATTTATCTCCTACTCTGTCTAACTGAGAGCTTTAGTTGTAGAGTCTGTAACATAAATAATATGTTTAACTCCCAAAATGTGAAGATATATTAATTTGTCCCCATTTATTGAGATATTGCTGTGTACTTGGTATTGTGCCAAAATTCCAAGAACAGGATCTAATCTTCAGGTCTTCACAGAACTGAAATTCTGGAAGAAGAACTAGAAGTATGGGAACACAAGCTGTTCACACACTTCATTCATTCCATTATTATTCAGTGAGCATCCACTGTGTGCTAGGCACTAAAGTGTGGTATGACGTATATGTGACCAATGTACATTTTGCCATTCAGTGTCTAGAGATCAAATGAGAAATATAAGTAATTCTTACTATCTAGTGTAATCATTACTAAAACGAGGAGATGCTCAGGACACTGTAAGAGCCCATGTAAACCAACCTAGGAGACCACGGAAGTCTGTCTGATAGAAAATGCATCCAAACTGTGACTCAAAGAGTGAGGAGTAGTTAGCTGAGAGTCTCATAAGCCATAGTCATGAGTTTGGATTGTATCCTAAAGGCAGGGGAAAGTCATTTTTCTGCCAAGAATATTTTTCTATAATTTCCACTGTACTTAATTAGTATGTATTATGTAGTGTATAAGAATATGTTGGAATATATTTGGTTTTGCTTAAATTCGAAGGAAAAGATATTTGGGGTGTCAGTTGCAATCAGTCAGAAATCTTTGTCACTTATACCTGACTTCCAATAACAGTCGTATCTATATATAGATATTATTATCTGTAGACGTATATCTAGATATGGATGTGAACTGGTTTATAATTTTAAGATTGCTTTACATTCAGAATTAGTTTACTTATATTTAAAAGTGCCAGAAATCACCCCACATTCCAAAACCTGAAGCACAGAGGGGCAAGTGGGAATTTCCGAAGTCACTCCGGTAGTCGGCATGCCAGACTACATTTCCTCACATGTGACTCACTGCTCTTCCTGCCATTGCCTCACGAGAATGCAATGGATATTGATTTTTTTCTCCTTGACCAAGGAAATCTGGCATAGTTTGAATCTTTTATATAAAATCTGTCTCTGCACTCCCTCCATTCTGTATCTTTCATAAAGGACAGTAGAAATACACTGAAAGGATTGATTGGTATTATCAAATAATGATGACAAATACAATGATGTAACAAAGTAATAGTTTGAAATACAGTGGTTAACATAATTTCTTGTTACTGTCATGTTAGGTTATCTTTTTCTGGATAACCTATCCCTGTATCAACACATTCTTTGGTAATACTATTTTACTCTCAGATACTGTTTAGCAAAAATAACTTGCAACTCAAATTGTAGACTATTTTCTTCTTTGTTAAAATCTTCACATTACATTCAGGTATGTGAACTCCACAGCTTTGATACCTGTTGTATTGATTTTGATTGCATGTTTACTGGCACAGTAACTTTAAAGGTGAACTGCACCAGAATAGCTGTTGTTTGCTTTAAAATTGTTAGATTGGAAATAAAAGACTAGCAGCTTCACCTTGATACTAAGAGCCCCTTGCCTAGCCTGACACAAAGTAAACATTAATGCTGGGTCATGGGAGCTTTGATTTATTCTGTATCCAGTTTCGAAGTAACCACCCTAGGGGCTGGCAGGTTTGTCATCCTTGTCAGTCTGTCTGTAACATTGTGTTAACAGTCTCTCTCTCTCTCTCTCTCTCCTCAACTTAGGCAGCCTGCTGTAGGGGGCACAAGCTCAACTCCTAGAGCACAGAAGGCCATTGTGAATCATCCCAGTGCTGCCCTGATGGCTCTTAGGAGAGGATCAAGAAACCTTGTCTTTCGAGATTTTACAGTAAGCAAGCCTTGAAAGCCTTACCTATAAAGGTGTGAGCACTGTATGATTTAGATCTTTATTCTTTTCTTTTCCTTTCTTTTTAAGGATGAAAAAGAGGGACCAATAACTAAACACATCCGACTAACAGCTGCCTTAATATTAAAAAATATTGGTAAATATTCAGAATGTGGTCGCAGGTGAGTAATCTGTTTTCCGTAGCCCGAGTGAATTCAGATTATTTTACTTTTACATGCAAGTTAATAAGATTAGATATCTGTGTTTTTATTTACTGTTTTTCTCAACAATTTTGTGAATATGTCCAAAAGCTTATGCCAAGGTCAGGCCATCGTGATCTGTTAAAAGCCAAAAAAGTCGAAGTTCAAACAGCCAAAAGGTGATCTTTTAATTTGTTTTATTAGGTTAATTTTCTTGCTGACCATAGCATTTAGAGCAAAAAGTAGATTTACTAAAGAGAAACCTTAGAAGTTTATGGGGGAGGGGGAGGAGGAATGAATTGGGAAATGAACATGTGTCATTTGAATTGTGTGGCGTTAGGATGGAATTTAATTTGGTGATTGGCATTTTCCTGAAGCCATCAGAGTCACAGATACTGCTGAGATTCACTCTAATGCTCTGAAGTTTAAAACTGATTTTCTGAGGCTCCTGGGTGGCTCAGTTGGTTAAGTGTCCGATTCTTGATCTCAGCTCAGGTCTTGATCTCAGAGTCGGGAGCTCAAACCCCATGTTCGGCTCCAAAAAAACCAAACATACTTTTTAATGGACTTAAGCAAGAAAAACTCGGGATTTTATAGATCTGTAGAAAGTAGATACAGTAACTCTAATCCTTGAGAAAGCAAATGTGGAAAGTTCTGTTGGACTTTATCTCCCTTGGAGATTGTCTCTAATTCTCTAGTATTCCTTCTACATCTTCCGCTGACTCACCTTGGGCTCTTTTGTCAAGAAATTATCTTCTGAGAGTGGGCCGGCTAGAAAGATGCAGAAGAGGTGGAGAGCCATTTGGAGAGGGGGTGCAGGAAGCCTGTCTGAAGCTCTCCTGAGCCTCCCTGACTGTCCTGGGAGCCCACACTGTTGGCCTAGGGCTTGATTCTGTTTGCAAGAGAATAGCCCTCAGAGATCCTGTCTATGAAGAATGATATTTGCTCCCAAAACTTGTCTTGGGGCACCTGAGTGGCTCAGTTGTTAAGCATCTGCCTTCGGCTCAGGTCATGGTCCCAGGGTCCTGGGATCGGGCCCGAATTGGGCTCCCTGCCCAGCTGGAAGCCTGCCTCTCCCACTTCCCCTGCTTGTGTTCCCCCTTTCTCTGTGTGTCTGTCAAATAAATAAATAAAAATAAAAATAAAAATCTAAAAAATAAAAAGGAAAAAGAGATTATCTTCTGAGACATCCTGCCTTCTGGCTAGTGACTTTCTCTCTGCATTTTTCTCCTCAGGCATGTTAGTAGTCCCATATCCCAGATGTATCCTGCATCTAAATTATTTCTCCTCCCCCACCCCCACTGGTACCTTGCCTTCTTAGTTCTTTTGTGTTTCTTGCAGTAACTTTCCAGCTGAATTCTCCCACCATGAAAACAGTGGTACCAATTACAAAAGGAAAGGGGGGGAAAAAAGCAACGAATTTGAGTATATCAAACTTCTGTAAATTAAAGATGAATAAAACTTAAAACTAAAGTTTAAACAACAGTATTTGCAATGCAAAATTTACTATATTTAGTGTATCCTGTGTTCTCATGGGTGAATAAGAAAAATTCTTAACATTCAAATAGAAAGATGAGCAAAGTTTTTCAGAAAGAAAGGAATATGAAGGTTTCGTCACCATACAGGAACACCAGCTTCTTCCTTCTTCATTCATAACATGGTTTCTTACTGCCTTTCTCACTGTGCTTTCCTCTCCACCCTCCTTATGCTTCATAGCTTACATTTCAATTTTAGCCACATACAGATTCCTAATCGTTAGACTCTTTCAGAGCGCCTGGGTGGCTCAGTGGGTTAAGCCTCTGCCTTTGGCTCAGGTCATGGTCTCAGGGTCCTGGGATCGAGCCCCACATCGGGCTCTCTGCTCAGCGGGGAGCCTGCTTCCCTCTCTCTCTCTCTCTGCCTGTCTCTCTGCCTACTTGTGATCTCTCTCCCTCTGTCAAATAAATAAGTAAAATTAAAAAAAAAAAAAGACTCTTTCAGGTCACACTTCTGTACCTTTGGTTCCAACATTCATACTATTCTCCTTGCCTAGAATGCTGTTCTCCCTGCGGTGCTGGCCTGGTGAATAACTAGAAACCCTTTGTGATTCAGCTCAGATAGAAGCTTTTGTGTGCTGCCTCCTGTGCTGTGTTCCCTTCCCCGTCGAGTTCATCTCTATTTTTGTGACCTGTCTGGTAACATTTTTTTTGGACAGTCTCAATATTTTATTGTTTTTCTAAATTTAAATTCAAGTTAGTTAACATATCATGTAGTATCGGTTTCAGGAGTAGAATTTAGTGATTCATCACTTACATCTAACACCCAGTGCTCATCCTAACAAGTACCCTCCTTAATGCCCATCCCCCATTTAGCCCGTCCCTTACCTCCCTTCCAGCAATCCTGTTTGTTCTCTACAGTTAGGGGTCTCTTATGGTTTGCCTCCCTCTCTGTTTTTATCTTATTTTTCCTTCCTTTCCACTATGTTCATCTGTTTTATTTCTGAAATGCCACTTATGAGTGAAATCCTACAGTATTTGTTTCTCTGACTTACCTCGCTTAGCGTGATACGCTCCAGCTCCATCCACGTCATTGCAAATGGCAAGATTTCTGAGTTAATATTCCATTGTGACCACATCTTCTTTATCCATTCATCAGTCGATGGGGACATTTGGGCTTCTTCCATTATTTGGCTATTGTTGGTAGTGCTGCACGTGCCCCTTCGAATCAGCATTTTGTATCCCTTAGATAAATACCTAATAGTGCGATTGCTGGGTCATAGAGTAGCTCTATTTTTAACTTTTTGAAGAACTTCCACACTGTTTTCCATAGTGGCTGCACAGTCTGCATTCCCACGAAAAGTGCAAAAGTGTTCCCCTTTCTCCGCATCCTCACCAACATCTGTTGTTTTCTGAGTTATTAATTTTAACCATTCAGACATGTGTGAGGTAGTGTCTCATTGTGGTTTTCATTTGTATTTCTCTGATGCCGAGTGATGTTAGCATTTTTTCGTGTGTCTGTTCGCCATGTGTATGTCTTCTTTGGAAAAGTGTCTATTTATGCCCTCTGCCCATTTCTTAACTGGATTATTGATTTTTGGAGTGTTGATTTTGATGAGTTCTTTAAAGATTCTGGACACTAGACCTTTATCCAGTATGTCATTTGCAAATACCTTCTTCCATGCTGTTGGTTGCCTTTTAGTTTTGTTGATTGTTTCCTTCACTGTGCAGAAGCTTTTTATCTTGATAAGGTCCCACCAGTATTTCATTTTTGCTTTGTTTCCCTGGCCTCTGGAGATGTGTCTAGTAAGAAGTTGCTCCAGCCACAGTCATAGAGTTTGCTGCCTGTTTTCTCCCATGGGATTTTGATGGTTTCCTGTCTTATAGTTAGGTCTTTCATCCACTTTGAGTTTATTTTTGTGTGTGGTGTAAGAAGGTGGTGCAGTTTCATTCTTCTGCATGTGGCTGTCCAGTGTTCCCAACATCATTTGTTGAAGAGATATAACATTAATTTTATGTTTTGTAAATGGTTTTAGGGGTACCTGGATGGCTCAGTCAGTTAGGTGTCCAAATCTTGGTTTTGGCTCAGGTCATGATCTCATGGGTTGTGGGATCAAGCCCCACGTCAGGCTCTGCACTCACCCGTGAGTCTGCTTGGGATTCTCTCCATCCACCCCTCCTCTTACTCATGCACAGGCTCGCTCACTTGCTCTCTTGCTCTGTTGAATAAGTAAATAATCTTTGAAGTAGTTTTTATATGGATTTTTTCTCCCGCTAACCTATTTGTAGACTTTCTCTGTGTAATCTTTGTAGCCTGAACACCTAGCACACCACTTAATATGTAGTAGTTAATCTCTACTTTCTCTTCATCCTTAAGATTCAACTCTGGGGTTACCTCTTCCTTACCTGACATCTTCCTCACTAGCCTGCCTCTGACCTAGGGCGCCAGAGGTACTCTCTATCACCTCACATGTTCCGTATCGCCATCTTAGGTGGTGAGATCTTTGAAAGCAGGGATTGAATGTTGATTTTCACTTTTGTGTCCTCAGTGCCTTGCATATTGTTTGGAACGTATAGGAATTCAGTAAGTATTTGATTGATAGACAGGCGGAAGGAAAGAAGTGTCACGAATTCACTCTTTTCTAGAGTTCTGATCTGGAATTTGTGTAAATAATTGGAATTCTAAAAGTAATTTTATAACTTTTTCTTAGCACTTTTTCCTCACATTCAAACTGTAGCAGAGCCACTTGGGCTAGATATAATTATTGAGCCAGAAGTTTTTGTTTTACTGTTTTTGTTTTGTTATTGATTTTGTTATTTTATATTTAAACCTTCCAAGTGTCTTCTGGCATCTTCAGTTATTATGATCTTAGAACAGCAGAATCAAAAGAATGAAAACAATCCATTAAATTCTTACCATTCATCCTCCCAGTGAAGGTTGAACTGTAGAACTTCATTCAGACATCTCCAGTGATGTGGAGTTTTGCTTAGCAAGAATACTGACAGAATCTGGCAAAACATATGTGTGAAGAAGAGAGTGTAGGAAATTAGATAGCTGCAAAAGATAATTCCCTGTTGAGATTTCTCATCTGAGAGCAGAATAAGTAATAGGGTATTTTTTTTTTTTTTAAGACTGAAGCCAACTCTGTTAGCAATAAGAAAATTGCACGTTGATCGGAAGATATGTGGAAATTTACCTTCATTTTTGTAGTATAGTGTACTGAACAATATGAAATGTCAGCATATTTAAAATTTGGAATTCAGAATCTGATTCTTTGAATAATGTAAAATGGTTAAATCCAGTTTATCTCCATTCTGATTAAGTCTGAGCTCTGAAGAATTACAATATATTTATCCTTTTGATTTATATACCTTTTATCAAAATAATACTTGGGTACTATTTAAAAATCAAATGGTACTTTTCTGTACGTGATAATGAACAGTCTGAAAAATAAATTAAGAGAATAATTCCATTTTCAGTATATCAACCTTGGGAATTCCTTCAAT